GCACAGGCTCCGGACACGCAGGCTCAGCGGCCACGGCTCACGGGCCCAGCTGCTCCGCGGCATGCGGGATCCTCCCGGACCGGGGCACGATCCCGACATGTCCCCTGCATTGGCAGGCGGACTCCCAACCACTGCGCCACCAGGGAAGCCCTCTGCCATCTTTTTAAAACGCAAATTTTGAAAAAGAGGGTACAGTAATTTAGAACTTGACTTGTTTTCCATAAATATTTGTAGAAAGGGTTTAGCCATCTAGACAAGTGAGCTTGATTTGTTCCATCTGCCAGAAACTCAACTTTAATCCAAACTCTTTAGTAAACTCATGGGTTTTTCATTGCTGTACTTGACTCAGGGCTGAAATTTTGAAATGAGAGCTATGATGTCTCTCTGTGTGTTTGTATGTATTTTTGTCTTTGGATAACATTGCTGAGGTTAATCTGTAAATGAGCTCTATTTAATTGGCTTAAAGAAAAGGAAGCGCTTACAAACCAAACAGTTCTAAATACAAGAGAAATTAAGTTACATGAGTTTCAGGTTCACGTGAACTGGGAAATATTCAGTATTAAATTAATACCTGGTATTAATGTTTAAGTTTGTTGATCTAATTAATATAGACATGTCTTTAGAGGCATCAACATTAAGTATAGTACTTTCACTGCACCTAGGTTTAATAGAAGTTAAATGAAATCTTGTTATATCTGTTGTAAATCTGTCAGCAAGAAAAATAACTTGATATGACGAAACTTTAAATATAAATGAAATAAGAGCTTTTAGGTAAACTCTATAGGAATAATTATGTTCTGAAAATTATCTAAAATAGTCTCTCCAGATTTTGGTAACTATTACTCGCCTCTTGGTTGTCACTAGAAATTAAGGTTTTTAAGAGTCGGGGATTCTAATTTAAATATATAATTAAAGCTACTGAAAATAATAAAACATTTCAGTATGGTAGAATGTGTGTTTTCAGTTAAGGTAGTATGAGGAATGGAACTACATTTTACTGAGAAAGTTTTATACATGGTCAGGATTAACTAAATTTAGATTGACGTTAACTAAGTGAATGGATTTTGTTAAGCAAGCTAATACAAGACTGGAATTTGATCTCTCTGTTACAAATGCTCCTTTTGATAACAGATTATATAAGTTTCCGTGCCCTTAGGTGATCCGTATGTATTTTCTTTCAACTGTTTTGTGACTTTGGTTAAATGAATAAATATTGTTTCACAGCGGACTATGATCCTGTTGTGTTTTAAAACCTTTTTGATATTTTTAACAAACTTCCCAAATATCAAAATCTGACTAAAGATTTTTAGCCTCCAGCTGACTCTGGGATACTTTGAAAGAACATCTCTGAAACATCTCAGAGAGAAATGTCAAACTCGGTTTATTTGGTATGTTAAATTACTTCAAAAACATTGTCAAGTGATTGGAGATGAACCTTAGGTTATAGTGTATGGATAAATGTCATTTATATAGATATTCCAAAATTTATATGGAGCCCCTAACATCTGATATGTCCTGATATGTTATCAATCATAATACTAGTTAATCTAAAATGGTATATCCAAGTTTCCTGCTAATTGCATTGTACTGAAATCTTTAACAATGCTATTTTAAGTTTTGTCCTGATGCTTTTACAAAATGAAGATTTCCGAGAAGACTGATAAAAAGGAGGTTTTTAACAAATATAAGTTTCTGATAGCCTTTAGATAATATCACTGGACTGGATAACAAATGACAAAACTAATGGGAAACCTGATTATTTCATCCAGATCAATGGGAATTAATTACATGGGACTGAATGAACTGGTAAATATGATTTATAACTTTATGACTTTGGGAAATATACTGGATTTAATCTTTGTTTTTCGGAAAAACATTTTCTCTTATGCTATGACCTACAACAAGTTGACAAAGTATGCCTTTGTAAACGAAGACTAAACATTTATCTTTTTCTCTACCTGATCCTGCCAAAATTTGTTGTCTCCAGCTGGCTCTCTTGTGGATTTGATATTATGCTAATCATTGTTTTAATTTGCTCTTTGTTTCCAAGTTGTTTGTGCTTTGTGTCTCCCTGCTGCACTATGTCTTTGTCAATGTTACTAGCCACATTACTTATATCCTGCCTATTTTATAAGATTGTTGTCTCTTGCAGTACCCAGTGTGTAACCAAGCCGCCAACAAAACTTCTATGGCTAAACATCTTAAGGTAATAGATCACATTTATAACACAAAATAATTGTAATAATGTGATTCTAGTTATGGGAAGAAGCAACAAGGGAAAATGTCTCCTGGTTCATAATTAGACAGAGGATCCAGAGAATCTTTAATTATCAATAGGGCCTAATCTGAAAATTAGCACCTGGAGTGGCATATCAAGAATTTTCGCCTGACCTGGCATGAGCCTCCCAGCACCGTGGGGCAAAATTTGATCATAAAATGTCTCCCAAATATTGGTCAAATTCCTGACCAAGAGGAGAGGCTCAATCATCGGCTATTGCAGCCCTCCAACGTGAGCCAGTGAACCCTGAGGAAACTCAAGAAGGAGAATAATACCTGCCATCTACCGGCCATCAGGCTGCAGCCACTCCTTATGGTGAGCCCTGAGGAAACTCAGATGTGAAAATACAGGATACAGGGACTTGCCTGGTAGCTCAGTAGTTAAGAATCCACCTGCCAATGCAGGGGACACTGGTTCGAGCCCTGGTCCGGGAAGATCCCACATGCCGCAGAGCAGCTAAGTCCATGCGCCACAACTACTGAATCCTATGAGCCACAACTACTGAAGCCCGCGCACCTAAAGCCCGTACTCTGCAACAAGAGAAGCCACTGCAATGAGAAGCCGGTGCACAGCAACAAAGAGTAGCCCCTACTTGCTGCAACCAGAGAAAGCCCGTGCGCAGCAACGAAGACCCAACACGGCCAAAAACAAGCAAACAAACAAATAAATAAATAAAAAGAAAATACAGGATACAGGCCCCGGATAGCTGTGGTGCATATCAAAGAAATGATTTCAGTGAGCCCAGACTCTTGGCATCTTCCCATACAAAGAAAAATGCTAAATTCCTTAACTTGAGATGCGGCCTCCTGGGTTTGAAGCCCTCAAAATTCCTGATAACTCTCAGCTTTTAGGTTGTAAATATTTTTAAGTCTACAGGTGTAAAGTAGACACTTCCAAAGTGGGACAAAAGACAAATCTCAGCATTTGGAACACTGATACCGATGGCGGACACTCCTGGAAAGATCCATCTGACAGAGCAGTCAAAACGTTGTCACCCCTTTCCCCACAAGATTGTGGAATGGACACTGACAGTGGGGAATTGTAACAGGGAAGAGCTAAATCGGACTGTTTCTTTGACTTTAACCTTTGCTTTTTGTTGCTTTTGTTATTATAATCATACATAATGGCCTGCCTCAGGGAACCCTGCCCCTCTGCCTGAATGTTAAAGTGCCTCTATTCCGCTCACGGGGAGACAATCTGACCCTGCCCACCTGTGGATGACTGCAGAAAAGAAGAAATTAACACATCCCCTCCCCAAGGCTGGCCATTCCAGGGGATATTTGCAAAATTTATGGCGCTTTTACTTTACTTCCTCATCTCCTCCCCATCTCTATGCTATAAAAGAAACTGGCATCCAAACCCCCATAAGATGGTTTATCGGAGACACTAATCTGCCATCTTCTCGGTCTGCTTGGCTTTCCGAATAAACTCATACTTCTTGCCTCAGCACCTCATGTCCGATTCATTGACCTGTCATGGGGCGAGCAGAGCGAGCTTGGACTCTGTAACAAAGTGGATCCCCTTGGTGTTTCGTTTTGTTGTTGTTTTTTTTAAATTTTATTTATTTATTTTTTATTTTTGGCTGTGTTGGGTCTTCGTTGCCGCACGCGGGCTTTCTCTAGTTGCGGTGAGTGGGGGCTACTCTTCGTTGCGGTGCGCGGGCTTCTCGTTGCAGTGGCTTCTCTCATTGTGGAGCACGGGCTTCAGGCGTGCAGGCTTCAGTCGTTGCGGCACGCGGGCTCAGTAGTTGTGGTTCACAGACTCTAGAGCACAGGCTTAGTAGTTGCGGCACATGAGCTTAGTTGCTCCACGGCATGTGGGATCTTCCCGGACCAGGGATCGAACCCGTGTCCCCTGCACCGGCAGGTGGATTCTCAACCACTGCGCCACTGGGGAAGCGCCCCCTTGGTGTTTTAATTTGTAATTCCCTGATGACATATGATGTTGAATGTCTTTTTATTCATGTACTTGCCATCTTTATATATTCTTTGGTGAGATGTCTATCCAGACCATTTGCCCACTTTTAAAATTGGGTTGTTTATTTTCTTATTGTTGAGTGTTAAAAGTTCTTTAGATTCATTTTTTTTATTATTGTTTACTTATGATGGTGAGGCAGGAGATAGATGGGCTCCAGGGTAGACATTTACAGCAGCCTCCTGTTCACGCTTCCTGAGATGAGAAGAAGATGGGCTCCAGGCCGGACTTTCATTACCAACCCCCTGTTTACATTGCGTGAGGCAAGAGACAAACGGGCTCTGGACTACGTATTTATGACCGGACTCCTGTCTATATTTCAAGATCTGCACTTCAATGTAAGAAACAACAACAGGAATAGTGTAGATAACTGGACATTTGGACACTTTTATGGGAGGGGCAGAGAGGGGCTAAACCCTGTTAAAAGATCGAGAGGTCATACATTTCCCATCCTTGGGGCAAGGGAAACATTGCACATGCGCAGAAAGGCTCCTTGGGGGTCAAAAGGGAGGGGGCCCCAGCCCATAATATGTGATGCTAAGGCCATCCCATAGACCTCTGGGCTGGAATCCATAGTGGAAAAAAGTTGCGCACGCATGTTTGGGAGCGTCCTAGAGCAGGTCAGGTGTGGAAACAGAAACCAGATAATTGGCCAAAGGTAAACAAAGACCGGGAAGAACTGCCCAATATAGATGACTTAGCTGCCTCTTTACTGCTCTTCTCTGCATTAGGGGGACGCCCACACCGTTTCTATCTGATGTGCATCTCTGCCTTGCTTCTATCTTAACAGTTTCTCTGTGTGCTCTCCCACTTGTTGTTGTGCTATGTCTCTGATAATCAACTTGTACCTGTTTTTACAGTTTTTGCCTCTGTGAGAAATGCATTTTTTCACTGGGGGCAAGAGCCAGGGGGTGTGGTGGCCAGGATTCCTGGTTTTCATCCAGGCTACCCAGGTTCAATTCCTGGACAGGGAATTAAGAACTCGCTTCACGCCACCACCCACTGCTGCCTCTCCGAGATCGGGTAGGGTGGTGGGGCTCTGATTAGATTAGTATATAAAGTACTTGAGGGGAGTCCTTAGAGATAAAACCCAGAATGGCAAACTGAAGGGGACCCTTGGAGGGCTATTTTATTCTGTAGTACCAAGGGAGCCATTGAGGGCTATTGAGCAGCAATGGAAAAGAGTCAGGCTTCTGCCTTTCATATCTTGCACTGATTACACAGTGTTTATGCATAGTAATTGACATGTCAATGCAGTTAAAAAAAACTGGAGCCCAAATGCTCCATCTTAGAAATTCTCCAAGTCTCCCTTTCCCTCTTTATAAATTGGGTTTAATGCTTTCCTCCAAAGCTGATAATGAGGATTACATGAAAGAGT